TGTCGCCGAAGCCAAGGCCGCGCTCACTAAGGCCAAAGAGGAGTACAAGCGCTACTACGACCGGAGACGCACTCCGTCTCCGGAGTTTAAGGTTGGCGACCGTGTTTGGCTGGATGCCTCTGACATCAGGACGACTCGCCCCTCGGAAAAGTTCTCCCATCGCCGCCTCGGACCGTTCAAGATAGTCGCGGAGATCAGCAAAGGTGCCTACAAGCTCGACCTCCCTCCGCTACTCGAAGCTCCACCCGGTCTTCCCCGTTGTCAAGCTCGAGCTCGCCCAGGACGACCCCTTCGGCGGACGCCCCGGCTACGACCAGCCCCCTCCGGACCTCGAGGACGGAGTCCCGGAGTGGGAAGTAGAGGAAATCTTGGACGCAAGGGTGAGGTATAAACGGCTGAACTACTTCGTCAGATGGAAAGGCTATGACGCATCGCACGACCAGTGGGTCCGCTTCGACCGCGTCTTTGCCCCAGAGAAAATTGCGGAGTTCTATCGTAAGTACCCTGGCAAGCCACGACACATCGCCTCCGTGACCTTCGACTCGATTCCGTTCCGGTCTATGCGTCGAGACACCGCATTCAAAGGGGGGGTGATGTCAGGGGAACCCCCCCTTTCGGCCCGGAGACGCGCCCGATTCCGGTCCGATTCCGGTTCCGACTCCGGTCCGGCCCTCCATCTCGCCCGCACAATCACCGATCCGTCAACTGTCAGGGGAACCTCCCTTTCGGCCCCTCGGAGACGATCCCGATTCCGGTCCGACTCCGGTTCCGACTCCGGTGATCGCATCACCGCCTCCGTCAGGCGCATCGCCGCCCCCGCCTGGCGATCCCCCTGGGACCTGGCCTGCGACATGGCGCAGGCATACTGCACGGAGCAACGATCAACCTTGGCGCGTCAAGAGCGCAGTATATAGTTCCGCTACCTAGCAGGCGGACCCTTAGAGTTTCTTCTCTTTGGATCCTCCCCTGCTAGGTCAGCCTCACTTGTATTTGCTTACTTCTATTCACTCTTTGGATCCTCCCCTGCTAGGACCTTGATCTCAGGCCTCCGGGGTTGCCCTTACAGCAGAAGAAACTCTCTACGGGATCAACCGGACAAGATTGCTAGGTTCGGGCGCTGACTCAGGCTCGAGTACGAGTCCGTTCCGCCCTCGTCACCGCCCCTACCACTTGTCCCCTCCTCCTCTGTCACTCCTGTCGTCCCCCACCTGTCATGCCTTCCGGAGCTACTCCTGACGCTGACACTCGGCTGGATGCACTCGAGGCGAAAATCGACCGCCTAACTGAGGCCCTTACTCTTCTCACCACCCAGGCTTCCGCTGCCGCTGCCGCCGCTAATACTGCTGGCGGACCCCAAACAACACCACCCCCGGAGACGTCGATTCCGACTCCGACTCCGGTTCAGGGCGATTCCGAAGCCCTCTTTGGCGACATCAACCTCGCCTCAAAATTGGTCTTGCGACCAAACCCTCCGTTCACCTTCAACGGCGATCGGAAACGCGGCCGCGCGTTCCTTTACGCGGTCCGCACCTACGCCCGCCTTGCCCCTGAGGCCTTTGTGGTCAACGGAGAGGCGAGTGAGGAAAAGGCCGTCCGCTATGCCATGTCGTTTATGGCAGAAGGACCCGCTCAGCAATGGGCGGAGCGCCACGGAAGCAAAGCCCCGTTTCCGTTTCCGTCCTGGGGCTCGTTCGTTTCCGAGTTTCGACTCCGGTTCGTTGAGGAGAACGAGCAAGATCATGCTCTCTCCAAACTGGAGACTTCCGCCTATCACATGGGCACAAAGGATGTCTACCAGTACACCGACGACTTCGAGGACCTGATGGACCTCGCCGGATTCGAAGACGCGTTGGTCAAGGTGACCAAGTTCCGCCACGGACTTGACCCCTTGATCAACAACGGAATCACGTCCTCGAACGCCCCCGGACCTCCGGGACTACCTTAGCTGGCGCACCCGGGCCTTCCGTCAATACGAGGCCCTGGTCCGGGCCAAGCTGATCAAGTCAGCCGCCCCCAAGACGCCTGGCGGTTTGATTCGGACTCCGTTTCCGGTCAACCGCATCCCGGCTCCGGCCCCTTTCCGCCCGGTGGCTCCGGTCGTGCCACCCGCGGCCCGCGCCCCGCTCCGGCGCCTCCAGCTCCCGTCCCCATGGAGTTGGATCGCACTAGGGCTCGGGGTGCCCCTCGTCGCGCCTGCTTCAGGTGCGGCGACCCAAACCATCTCGCCCGGGATTGCCCCTCCCCGCGGACGTCCGCTCAATGGACATCCTCGACGAGGTGATCCAACAACTCGGTGACGAGATGTTAGCGGAGTTGATCGCCCGCTACTCGGACACAGCTGCGCTGCCGGAGACAGCTGCGGAGTCGATGGCCGGAGAGGATTTTGTCCCCGCGACGAGTGACTGGTGTGCCCTCGTTCGCGTCCATAAATCGTTTCGCTTGTTTGTATGACGAATCAATTCCTTTGCCCTACAACGAGCCTGAAACGAAAGACATACCCTCCCCTGCCCCCATTTCGACTCCGTCTCCGACTCCGCCCGCGACTCCGGTTGTCGTCCTTCGCCGCCTCACTGCCTGGGAAAAGAAATTGCCCAAGCAGTACACTGTCGCTGCCTCCCCTGGAGTAAACTCCCTCCACCTCCCGTTGGAGCTAGAGTCCACCACCAGTGCGTTGAAGCTCTCCCTTTCTGGGCTTGTTGACTGTGGTGCCACCTCCGACTTCATCGACACGAACTACGTCGCTCGGAATGGCATTCCGGTCCGCACCCTGGCGCAGCCGATTCCGGTCTTCAACGTCGATGGCACTCCGAATGATGCTGGCTCCATCAACCAGATCGCGGACTTGGTCCTACGCTACAAAGGCCATTCCGAGCGTTCAACTCGCCGTCACCCATCTCGGTAAACAAGACCTCATCCTGGGGTACTCTTGGCTGCGGAAGCATAACCCAGAGATCGATTGGGAAACCAAGGAGGTCAAGATGACGCGGTGCCCCCGCGGCTGCTCCACTTGCCGCGAGGAAGAACGCGTTGAACGGACTGAGCTACGGCGACTCCGGCTGCTCCAGAAGCGACTCCGCTCCGGCCCGTTCCCCTCGGTCTGCGCCATGGACCTTTCTGGGTCTGATGACGGAGACGATTCCGTCTCCGGCGACGACTCCGGCCTGCCTGATCTGACGCCGGACTCTGACGACGACGATGACGATGGTCAGCTTGAAGATGGTGACCGCATCTTCTACACCTCGTTCCGTCCCTCGGAGGAGATACGCGCTGGCAGTACTGTCTCGCAGCGCCTGGCTGAAGCCTTCGCCAGGAACTCCGCTCCCCCCCCTCCGAGATCCCGGACTGGGCTAAAGAGTTCCAGGACGTCTTCAACAAGGAGTCTTTCGACACGCTCCCGAACGGAGAACCTGGGACCACGCCATCGAACTCGTCCCCGACGCTAAGCCGGCCAACTGCAAGGTGTACCCCATCTCGCCCCTTGAGCAACGCGAGCTCGACGTTCATCGAGGAAGGGCTGTCGACGGGCCGGATTCGCCCTCCAAGTCTCCGATGGCGTCTCCGGTCTTCTTCGTCAAGAAGAAGGACGGCGGACTCCGCTTTGTCCAGGACTATCGGGCCCTCAACGCGATGACCGTCAAAAACCGGTACCCCCTTCCGCTGATCAACGACCTCATCAACCGGCTCAAAGGCGCTCGTTACTTCACCAAACTCGACGTTCGTTGGGGCTTCAACAACGTCCGGATCAAAGAAGGTGATGAGTGGAAGGCAGCTTTCCGGACTAACCGAGGCCTGTTCGAGCCCTTGGTGATGTACCTGGCCTGACAAACTCTCCTGCGACGTTCCAAACGATGATGAATGACATTTTCCAGGACCTCATCCTTTCCGGAGACGTCATGATCTACCTGGATGACATCCTGATCGCCCATTCCGACCTCCGGAAACACCGACAGATCGTCCAGGAGGTCTTGCGCCGACTCCGAGAGCATAAGTTGTACCTCCGAGGCGGAGAAGTGCGACTTCAAAAATCGTCAATCGAATACCTCGGAGTCATCATCTCCCACAACCACGTCGAAATGGACCCCGTCAAGGTCGCAGGCGTCTCCGCCTGGCCGACTCCGGAAAACAAGAAGGATGTTCAGCAGTTCCTTGGGTTCGCTAATTTCTACCGCAGGTTCATTCGCGACTTCTCGGCCCTCGCACGTCCTCTCTTTGCGCTCACCAAGAAGGACCAGCAATGGACTTGGGGCGACGCGGAGGCCTCCGGCGTTCCAAGCGATCAAGGACGCGGTGTTGAGCCTCTGGCTCCGCTGAGCGCCAAAACCGCCATTCCGCGGCGGATCAAATGATCGACAAATGCGACCTACGTCAGCCTCCCGGCCCATCACCGCATCAAACGCGTCTAGACGCTTTACGGCGACGCGACGCCGCCTCCCGGACTCGTCGGGGGCGGTCCTGGAACAGTCTCCGACTGCGGGATTTGTGCCTCTACTGTAGTATATAAACCTGTAGCTATTCCTTACAATTCAGATCATTCTCCCCGCAGTTTCTATCTAGTTTCTGTGTGCTCTCGAGCCCGTATCTACTTCGTCTTTGCCCGCGCTTAGTCAGCCTCCGTCCCCGCCCTCACCGCGTGCCGGTCCGAACCTTAGTCGGAACCCTCGCACTTTCTTTTGTTTGTGTCAGCTGCCAAGCCCGACGCAAGCACATCATATTTTGGAGCCCACCGCGAGGGTCTCCTTAGCACCATTGATTCGTACTTGGCACGCAACCTTCGCGACAACGAGCTCCGAACTCTCCGACTTGAGTTGATTCGCGCTGGTCAAAATCCAAACAACCTTACCGACACCTCGACACATAGTCAAAACTCGAGTCCCGACGAGTTTTTGGTCCCTGTCCCCGTCTCCATCGCCCAGCACTCATACCTCCCCCCACTTTCACCCTCTGATCCTTACTTCGCCTATTTTTTGCCGCTCCCGCCCTCGCGCCCGACATCTCCGACCATGGCAACAATTCCCATGCCCGCCCGAGGCGACCGAAATGCCCCCCGCTTTGACTCCGCCAAACCGCGTGAGTTGCTCCGCTACTTCTCGGATCTCGAGTTCCACTTCGCGCGCGCTGCTGTGACTGACCGCGCCGAGAAGAAACAGCATGCAACACGTTTCTTGAGTGTCGACGACCAGGATCTATGGGAGTCACTAGCCGAGTTCAACGACGCAACTAAGACCTATGAGGACTTTAAGGCTGCAGTTGTGAAGCTATATCCAGGAAGTGACACTGACCGCAAGTTTGCGATGAGTGATCTCGATGCGCTCATTGGCGAAACCGGCCGTATGGGCATCCTATCGCGCGCAGATTATGGAGAGTTCTATCGCAAATTCGTGCTGATCACCGCCCACCTTATCACCAAGAACCGCCTCTCGTCTGCTGAGCAGAGCCGAGCGTTCCGTCGGGCGATATCGCCTGCCTCGCTTTGGGAGCTAGCACACCGCCGGCTTCAAATCAAGAAGCCAGACGTCCACCCCGACGATCCGTACGACCTAGCCGACATGAACGAAGCCATGGAGTTTGTGCTCGCTGGCTCTAATGCCGATCTTAGCACCTCCGCGTTGCGTTCCCCGTCAGCCGAGTCACCATCATCTACCACTGCCATTGTTAAGCAAGAGCCTGGAGTCGCGGCCATCTTGGACAGCATCAACGGCTTGATTAAGGTGCTTACCACGCAACAGCAACTCGCCGCGGCCCCGCCACCACGTCCGAATCCCGTCCCTCGCTCATCACCCGGTTTGTGCAACATGTGCGGAGAAGGTGGTCATTATATTGGCACCTGCCCCACGGTTGAAGAGTACACAAAGCAAGGCAAATGCAAGCGCGACGTTAACGGCCGCGTCACACTGCCTAGCGGTGCCTTTGTTCCGTCCCGCATCCTCGGCGCCAACCTCCGTGACCGCATCGATGAATACCATCGACAGAACCCAGGTCAACTCGCGGCCGGGCAGCTCATGCTCGATTTGGCACCGAGAACCGCTCCTGCTGTCGCTCCTGCCCAACCCGTCGCCCCGGCCTTTGCGCTGTCCGAAGCCGACCGGATCGAGAGTCTCGAACGAGAGCTATTTGCGCTAAAGACTCGTGCGCAGGCTCGCGCCGCCATCGCCGCTGGAGAGCCAGTCGAAAGGCCTGAACAGCCGATTCGGGCTCAGTCCGTGCCAAGCCAGCCACCCGTTCCTCCGCCGGCCGAGAACCAGCCAGTCCCGCGCATTTTGACTCGCCCAGCCGTTGCCCCAGTCATCGCTCAGCCCGAGCATCCGTTTGCCAAGGCCCGTGATGCAGCATATGCCCCTCCGCGTGACCGTAATGTAGGTGCTCGCGCTCCCGTTTTACCCGCTGCAAAGAAGCCCGAGGTCGCGTATCGAACGACGGCACCTGTCTATGATGATAAGATTGCAAGTCAAGTATTCGGGCGTTCTATGGACGCACCTATTACCTTGACGCAGCGCGAACTGCTTTCGCTTTCGCCTGAAGTCCGTGCCCAAGTACGTGATGCAACAACGAGCCGCCGCGTGGCTCCCAACGCCAACGAGAAGGCTGCCGCAGCCGCCAAACCAGTGCAGCAGCTATTTGCGGATGAGCTACCTGCAAGCGATGCATTAGTTGACACGTTGGAAGAACAGAGAGAAAAGGATTCACGGAGTGCTGCCTTTTTCGACTCCATGCCCGCCACATTTGTCCAATCGGCTCAGCGTGAGCTTCCACCTAACGCCTTCATTGTTCCGGACCCCTTCGAAACGTTCTACGCCGCTGGCGAGATGCCCAAAGATCTTGTCGTCTCCCTCGAGTCGTCCGCAATCCGCTCCATACTCCCTATCATCGACAATCGCCTTCGCATAGAGTCCATCTTGGATGGCGGCTCGCAGATCATCGCCATGTCTGACGCGGTTTGTCACGAGCTTGGCCTCGTTTACGACCCCACCATTGTATTGCAGATGCAGTCTGCTAATGGCTCAGTTAATCCATCACTCGGCCTTGCGCGCAACGTACCCTTTGGGATCGGCGACATCACCCTATACCTCCAGGTCCATATTGTCAATAATCCGCCCTACGACATCCTTCTCGGTCGTCCCTTCGACGTTCTGACTGAAAGCGTCATCAGAAACTTCTCAGATGAGAAGCAGACCGTCACCATCTGCGATCCGAACACCAGCAAAGTCGCAACCGTTCCGACTATTCCGCGTGGTCGCCCTCGCTCGCGCCCTCAAAATTTTTAGATCTCGATGATTTGATTCAAGATCAAGGAGACATCGCACTTACCATCGTTCCCGACCCCTCCAATCCCGACTCATTCATTATCGAATCCTACGCGCCGCTTCCTTCACAGTATTCCCTCTCGGACCTTCAACACACCTATTTAGCCGCCTGTACTAACTTAGAATCAGATTCTGACACCGTGCTATTTGCACATACCGTCGTTCAACCGGCGTACAACGCAACTCCAATGCGGGATTCAACTCCCGCCAATATACCACTTCCCGCCTTTTATTCTGCCTCGTCCCCATCGCCCCACGTCGCCAAATCGTCCCACGTCGAAACCTACGCTGCGAAGAAAAAGTATAAACCAGTCGCTCAAAAGGTTAAGCCTGTTTTGGGCACATTACCTGATAAATTCCGAATCATTCGCCATATTGATGGCGACCCGCTCGCCGACATGCCTCGCCTGAACCCGAACCCGCCCCCTTTTGTTCCAACTAGTCGATATACCGCCGAGCGTCGCGACATTATCGATAACGCGCATCCCGGGAACTTCATGCGCCCAGCCGAGCGCGACTTGATGCACCACTTCATGACCGAGCAGTGCGATGCTTTCGCTTGGAATGACAGCGAGCGCGGTAAGTTTCGACCCGAGTTCTTTCCCCCCATCGACATGCCCGTCATCCCGCATACGCCATGGGTACAACGGAACATCCCAATTCCGCCTGGCATCTACGAAGAGGTCTGCCAAGTTATCAAAACCAAAATCAAAGCTGGCGTTTACGAGCCGTCAAACTCGTCTTACCGGTCGCGCTGGTTCTGTGTCGTCAAGAAAGACGGCACAAGTCTCCGCCTCGTTCACAGCCTCGAGCCTCTCAACGCAGTCACCATCGCCCATTCAGGAGTCCCGCCCTTCACCGAGCAAATAGCCGAACACTTTGCAGGTCGTGCTTGCGGCGGAATGCTCGATTTGTACGTCGGTTATGACGAGCGCTTGCTTGCAGAGTCGTCTCGCGACTACACCACGTTCCAAACTCCGTTTGGCGCGCTCCGGCTCGTTACGCTGCCCATGGGTTGGACAAACTCGGTGCCAATATTCCACGATGACGTTACCTTCATTCTTCAGCCCGAAATCCCCAAATACACCATCCCCTACATCGACGACGTCCCCGCTCGCGGTCCCGCTTCGCGCTATGAATTGCCAGGCGGCGGCTTCGAGACGATTCCCGAGAACCCGGGCATTCGACGTTTTGTCTGGGAGCACTTCGAAGGGTTGAACAGGATCGTACAGCGAATGAAATATGCTGGTGGTACCTTTTCGGGACACAAGACCATTCTTTGCGCTGAACGCATTACTGTCCTCGGCCACGTCTGCACCTACGAAGGCCGAATTCCCGACGAGTCCCGCGTCGCCAAAATAGCCAACTGGGGCCCGTGTCGCGACCTCTCCGATGTGCGAGCCTTCCTCGGCACCATTGGCGTTGTACGAATGTTTATCCGAAACTTCTCCCAACGTGCGAGCGCACTGATTGCTCTCACAAAGAAGGACGTGCCGTTCGTCTTCGGGGAAGATCAGATCAGAGCTCAAGATGATTTGAAGCACGCACTTATTAATTGCCCCGCACTACGCCCCATCGACTACACCAGTGACTCGCCCGTTATCCTTTCTGTCGACACATCATATATTGCCGTCGGTTTCTTGCTGTCTCAATGCGACCCCGCCAACCTCGCGCGTCGATTCTATGCACGCTTCGGCTCCATCACACTCAATGAACGTGAGTCACGCTTCTCGCAGCCGAAACTCGAGTTGTACGGCCTTTTCCGGGCTCTTCGCGCCTGGAAGGTCCATCTAATCGGTCTGCGAAATGTTGTTGTGGAAGTAGACGCACGATATATAAAGGGCATGCTTGCGAACCCTGATTTGGCCCCCAGCGCCAGCATTAACCGTTGGATCCTCGCTATACTCACATTCCAATTTACTCTCGTCCACGTTCCCGGTGTTTCACATCGACCCGATGGCCTCTCACGACGACCTGCGCAACCCGGCGACAAACCTGAGCCTGACGATGACTTCGACGACTGGATTGATCAGTTACACGGATTCATGCACATGATCAACGACTCACCATTTGTTCGCCGTCCTCAGTACACCATCTCCGTCTACTCCGAAGAGCTTGTACCTGCCGATCAACCGCCTCCTGAGTCCCTCTCATACAACCTTGTTCCCCGCTCTGACCCCGCTCGACGCGCTGACTTGCGCGTCGAACTCGTGCGCATCTGGCATGACAAGCTAGAGCGTCCTCGTGAAATGTCTGATAAGGAGTATGAGTCTTTTGTTCGATACGCGTTGGAGTTTTACCTTGAAGGCGGTAAGTTATGGCGTAAGAACGACCATAATCGACCCCAGCTCGTCGTGCTCCCCCACCGGCGGCTCTTCGTTCTACGCTCCGCACACGACGACCTCGGCCATAAAGGCTTTTACGCGACCCGCGCACTCATTTCCGAGCGCTTCTGGTGGCCCAAGATGGCCGATGACATCCAATGGTTCTTGAAGACCTGCGTGCTCTGTCAACAACGCCAACTCCGCAAGATTTCGATCCCACCCGTCGTCGCCGTCCCTGCACCCGTCTTTGCTAAGATGTATATGGACACAATGCACTTACCCACGAGCGGTGGTTTCAAATATATCGTTCAGGGTCGCTGTTCTCTCATCCACTACCCCGAATTCCGCCGTTTGCGCCGCGAGACCGGCAAGACACTCGGAGACTGGATCTTTGAAGATATTCTTTGCCGATGGGGTACCCTGTGCGAAATCGTCACCGACAACGGCACCCCGTTCTTGAAGGCATTGGCTTACCTCGAAAAACGATACCACATCCGCCACATCCGCATCTCCGGTTACAATTCTCGCGCCAACCTCGCGGAGCGACCACATTTTGATGTCCGACAAGCGTTATATAAGGCAGCCGATGGAGACCAGTCGAAATGGGCAGGTGTCGCGTTCAGCGTCTTTTGGGCGGAGAGAGTCACTGTAAGGAAGATTATGGGCTGCTCGCCGTACTTTGCGGCAACTGGTACTCACCCGTTGTTGCCTCTCGACATTTCTGAGGCCACCTACCTCCTCCCACCGCCCGAGTCGGTCTTATCCACCACAGATCTCATCGCTCGACGCGCCATATCCCTCCAAAAACGCCGCGACCACCTCTCCCAACTCCACTCCGACGTTTACGCTGCTCGCCTCCGTGCTGCTCGCCATTTCGAGTTGGAACACGCGGCAATTATACGCAATTTTGACTTCCAGCGTGGAGCGTTAGTCCTAATGCGAAATACGGCCATTGAGAAGTCGTTGAATCGGAAAATGCGCGCACGGTACCTTGGCCCACTTATCGTCATCTCCCGCAATCGCGGTGGCGCCTACATCCTCGCCGAGCTCGACGGCTCTGTCCTCGGCCGTCCCATAGCCGCCTTTCGCGTCATCCCCTACTTTGCCCGCGAATCCATCCCCCTTCCACCACTCGACGAGCTTATCGATATCTCCACCGCGCGCCTTCGGGAATTAGAGGATTCGGTACTGGCGGACCCAGAAGAGGCTGAAGGAGACGAAGATGGGGGTGTCGAGATGGATGCGGAGGCAGAAGATGAGGAGTAAACGCGTTTTGTTGACGCGGCGGCGCGTGCATGACATGGACGTCAAGAGCAAGCGAGTAACGCGTGAGGTAACGCGTGGCGACAGATCCAGCACCACGGCTAGCGGCATCAACCAAGGCCGCGCACGCATTGTATCGACCTCCGAGTGACTGAGGACAGTCACAATTTCACTTGGGAGGGGATGTTGAGCCTCTGGCTCCGCTGAGCGCCAAAACCGCCATTCCGCGGCGGATCAAATGATCGACAAATGCGACCTACGTCAGCCTCCCGGCCCATCACCGCATCAAACGCGTCTAGACGCTTTACGGCGACGCGACGCCGCCTCCCGGACTCGTCGGGGGCGGTCCTGGAACAGTCTCCGACTGCGGGATTTGTGCCTCTACTGTAGTATATAAACCTGTAGCTATTCCTTACAATTCAGATCATTCTCCCCCGCAGTTTCTATCTAGTTTCTGTGTGCTCTCGAGCCCGTATCTACTTCGTCTTTGCCCGCGCTTAGTCAGCCTCCGTCCCCGCCCTCACCGCGTGCCGGTCCGAACCTTAGTCGGAACCCTCGCACTTTCTTTTGTTTGTGTCAGCTGCCAAGCCCGACGCAAGCACATCAGCGGTCACCTCGGAACCGGTCCTGGCGATTCCGGACGACGCACGGCCTTTCCGACTCGAGGCGGACAGCTCTGATTATGCGACGGGGGCGGTTCTTTCACAATCCGCCCCGGACGGGAAGTGGCACCCTGTAGCATTCTATTCCAAAAGCTTAAATGATGTCCAGCGCAACTACGAAATCCACGACAAGGAGATGCTCGCGATCATCCGCGCACTCGAGGAGTATAGACACTTCCTCGAGGGTGCCGCGCATCCCGTCGAGATTTGGACTGACCATAAGAATTTGGAGTACTTCAGGAAGACGCAGCACCTCAACCGGAGACAGGCCCGCTGGTCCCTCTATCTCTCCCGGTTCGACTTCACGCTGCACCACAAGCCCGGTCGCGACATGGGCCGACCTGACGCCCTCTCTCGGAGACCCGACCACGGAATCGATTCCGACAACTCCGGCGTCGTCCTTCTGCGGCCCGAACTCTTCCACGTCCGGCGCACTCGAGGGTGTTTCCGTTTCCGGTCCCGGTTCCGAACTTCTTCGCGACATTCGCGATGCCCTCTCCGGTGAGCCTGACCTGGAGGAGCCCGTCGCACTAGCGGCCCGGCAACTCCTAAAGGTCCAAGGTCAAGCTCGAGGCCCCCGCTCCTCACGCTCCGGCGAGTGGGCCGTCTCCGGTGGTCTTCTCCACTTCCGTGGGAAGATTGTCGTGCCCAAGGACAAGGACCTCCGGAGGCGCATCATCGAGCTCTGCCATGACACTCGAGTCGCCGGACATGCCGGTCGCTTCAAGACCTTGGAGTTGGTCTCCCGGAACTACTGGTGGCCTCAGATGTCTCGCCATATCGGCCGGTGCGTCGCGACCTGCGACTTGTGCTGTCGCACCAAGGCGCTCCGGGAGACTGCCCCACGGAGAGCTACACCCGACGGAAACACCCCGGGCGCTGGCATACCGTCTCCGTCGACTTCATTGTCGAGCTCCCGAGGCCCATGGGTACGACGCGATCATGGTCGTCGTGGACACCCTTGGGAAGCGAGCCCACTTCTCCGAGTGCCATACCACGGTCGACGCGGTAGGAGCAGCCCGCCTCTACTACCGGAATGTCTGGCGCCATCACGGGACTCCGGAGAAGTACGTCTCCGACCGTGGCTCACAGTTCATCGCGGACTTCACCCGAGAACTCTGGCGTCTAATCGGCATCAAGCCAGCCACGTCCACCGCGTATCATCCGCAAACGGACGGTCAGACAGAGCGCGTCAACCAGGAGTTGGAGCAGTACCTGCGGATCTTCACCAACTATCAGCAGGACGACTGGGATGAGCTGATTCCGGCCGCGGAGTTCGCTTACAACAACCACGTCCACTCATCCACGCAGCAAGTCCCCTTCATGACGGACACGGGACGGCTTCCGCGCATGGGCTTTGAACCCGGAGCCCGTTCCGCTATGGAGTCTGTGAACGAGTTCCGCGACCGAATTGCCACTGGGGTTGCCGAAGCCAAGGCCGCTCACTAAGGCCAAGGAAGAGTATAAGCGCTACTACGACCGGAGACGCACTCCGTCTCCGGAGTTCAAGGTTGGCGACCGTGTTTGGCTGGATGCCTCTGACATCAGGACGACTCGCCCCTCGGAGAAGTTCTCCCACCGCCGCCTCGGTCCGTTCAAGATAGTCGCGGAGATCAGCAAAGGTGCCTACAAGCTCGACCTCCCTCCACGCTACTCGAAGCTCCACCCGGTCTTCCCCGTCGTCAAGCTTGAGCTCGCCCAAGACGACCCCTTCGACGGACGCCCGGGTACGACCAGCCCCCTCCGGACCTCGAGGACGGAGTCCCGGAGTGGGAAGTAGAGGAGATCTTGGACGCAAGGGTGAGGTATAAACGGCTGAATTACCGTCAGATGGAAAGGCTACGACGCGTCGCACGACCAGTGGGTCCGCTTCGACCGCGTCTTCGCCCCGGACAAAATCGCGGAGTTCTACCGTAAGTACCCTGGCAAACCACGGCACATCGCCTCCGCAACCTTCGACTCGATTCCGTTCCGGTCTATGCGTCGGGACGCCGCATTCAAAGGGGGGGGTGATGTCAGGGGAACCTCCCTTTCGGCCCCTCGGAGACGATCCCGATTCCGGTCCGACTCCGGTTCCGACTCCGGTGATCGCATCACCGCCTCCGTCAGGCGCATCGCCGCCCCCGCCTGGCGATCCCCCTGGGACCTGGCCTGCGACATGGCGCAGGCATACTGCACGGAGCAACGATCAACCTTGGCGCGTCAAGAGCGCAGTATATAGTTCCGCTACCTAGCAGGCGGACCCTTAGAGTTTCTTCTCTTTGGATCCTCCCCTGCTAGGTCAGCCTCACTTGTATTTGCTTACTTCTATTCACTCTTTGGATCCTCCCCTGCTAGGACCTTGATCTCAGGCCTCCGGGGTTGCCCTTACATCAACGCCCTCCCAACGGTCGCCCTGGGACCTCGCCTGCGACGCCGCCCAAGCCTCCTGTGCCCGACAGCGGCAGCTACGGACAAGCAGTATATAGTCAGCTACCTAGCAGGCGGACCCTCAGAGTTTCTTCTCTTTGGATCCTCCCCTGCTAGGTCAGCTTCATTTGTATTCGCTTACCAATGTTCACGCTTTGGATCCTCCCCTGCTAGGACCTTGATCTCAGGCCTCCGGGGTTGCCCTTACACGTTCGACCATCGAGGGCAGAACCAAATGTATATAAGTACCTAATGGATGATTACTGGCATAGAATGAGCATATATAAGTTGCATAGGTAAGTAACTGTACGCACGCTTCGTTCGACCGTCGAGGGCAGAACGAAGCGTTGCGCTGGCAGTGCAGATGTCCATATCCTCAATGTGGGATCAGACATCGTCATTTCTCCATCTCACCATCTCGCCCCTTCGTCCCGACTTGCCCGGCTCAATCACGCGCTAACACCTGAAACAGGTCCTTTCCATATAAGGGAAATATCTTTGAAAAGCAACTATTTATTCTAATTCAGATATATGATCTTTCTTCTCTATAGAAAGAAGTATTAAAATGTTTACATTAAATTCATCTTTTCATGGGAAAAGAAAGTTTTGAATTTTCCCTGTGATGTGCCACTGCGTGGTCTCTGCTGGGAACATAACAACTGACCGTGATCCTTTTAGCACTCCCGTTGTATCTTCTAATCCGTGCTGCATCCAAAGTAGCGAGCGGATAGTAATTGATGAGCACAGCTTAAACTTACAGCCCTGAATATATTCAACATTAAAAATCCATCCCTTGAAATTGTTTGCCACAGCGACATTGCTCCAGGAAAACAACAAGTCGGAGACCATTATCACTTTGAGTCCGAGGTCGTGAAGGTGCAGACAACAACAAAAACCCTGTTTGTCCATGAAAGAAGTTTTATCTACCCCAAATCTAACCCTGACTTCAAGTTGAAGTTGCCATTGGACCAGTTGCCTGAATGGCTACTTATTTTGCTCTGATCCTTTTTTGGTTGCTCGGAAATGTAAAAGAACTCTGAACGGTGAGCTGACAGCTTTTGGACAGCTTTACACAACCGCAGCCATTGGCAACTTGCAAGAAAAATGTTTCTGTTTCTACAATATATATGGCTACCCAAGTCCGTTTGATATTTGCGCTGCAATACAAGAAATATCTGATACATAACCAAAACCACAACAGCCGCTAAAACAGCGTGATGAAATTGCTCGGGAAGATATGTCTCCCCTCCACCCTCCTTTTCTCGTCAAGCAGCTCGCCGCTCCACCACCCGTCGTCGGGCGTAGCCTTCACCGCAATGATGTCGCCCTCCTCAAAGTCGAACTCCTCGTCGATCGTCGCGCGGTAGTCGTACAGCGCTTGGACTGCGATCCCATGTGAGTGTAGTCAGAAGAGTGGAGGAGAGAATACACACCAAAGAACAATATCCGCTCGCCGTCCGCACGCTCGTCGTCGGTGTCTGGCGGGCGCGTGGGCATCGGGGGTATCGGGGCCGGTGTCGCACTCCGGCCCCCGCTCCCGGGCTGCGGCGGGAGAGGTGTTGAGACTCGACGCAGCGAGGCCTGACTCGATTTACGTCGGTCGTGTTTAGTGCTATAAGCCGAGGACGGCGGCGTCTGCGGAATCGGCGGGGGCGGGGGGAATATTTTTGGGTATGCTGTGATTGATGCCGTTCTCTGTGTTTATGGCCATGGCAGGCTTGACGGGGACAACGGGCGGCGAGCTCGAGCTCTCCCTGCTTGTCTCCCGCGAGTTGCGTGTCGTCTTGATGGGTGGCTGCTCGCTCGGCGGGACTGCGGGCCGCGCTGACACCCGTGTAAAAGATGCCGACTGGACTGGAGGAGGCGAAAGTCCATTTGTATTCGAGGGAGAAAAGGTGGCCCAGCTCGGCGGTGCGGGAATGGCAATGCCAGTTCCACATTCCTCGACGAAGGACTCAACGTCTTGGAAGGCGTCTACCTGGTCGAGCGACACTCTAATGCGTTCACACGACTGAGAGAATAAGCGTCGGCATCGAAACAACAGCAACACCCACCTGATCATCCGACACGCACAGCGTCGATACTGCGTTCGCATAGCCCCAGATTACGTCTTTGACGTAATCAAGGCGTTCCTCTTCCATATCCTGGCACAGGTCGCACCACTCTTTCCAATCCTTCTGCCAGCGCACTGTCGCCTCCCGAATCGCCTTTACGGCCGTCTCAAGCTCCTTCTCGTTGCTTGTCACTGTCTGCTGACTCCGCGCTATTTTCATCTGCAGCCGCTCCACATCTTTTCCCGGGTTGACCGCCATTTGCTGTGTATACGATGCTAGGCGCAAGCAGTTTGACTCGTATTTCTCGCGGGCCTTCATTATCGCGGATTCAGCAGTGTGTTTTGTTTTATACCGCGCCTCGAGTGGGGCCTGGACTTGGGCAGCGTCTGCGGCCTGTTTTTCGGCATAGGCCGATATTGACGCCAGCAACTCGCTCTTCACCAGCGCAGCGAATTGGGCATGGGCGGTGGCTTGTGTAGAAGTTTCGGTTGCAAGCGTGTCGAGGGACAATTTGAACTGTCTGTCTTTTGCTCGATAAGAAAGGACAAGAAATGAAAGAACCCAGACGCACCCGGTCTCCTCCTTCCCTAAAACGCGGCTTCCTAACGCCTTTAGCTTCGCGGCGTACTCTTCCTCTATCCGTGCCCGGTCGCGCCAGAAATCCTCTAACTCGGTTATTGTCTGCGTCGCCGTCCGCATGCGGGAGAAAAGCACATTAGCGCCGGCATCGTCGAGCCCCCAAAAACAGTTACAGAAGTCGCGCGTCGGGCCGAGGTCCAGGGGAAGGGGCGGGGTGGCCTTAACGCCGTTAGTGGGTGGTTTTGCGGCGCTCGCAGAGGCGTAGCGCGCGATAGTGGGCGAGGGAGAGCGCGCAGTGCTATGGCTGTTTCCGCTGGTGTTTGTCCCCCGGCTCGACGTCGAGAGTGACGTGATTACCGAGGAGGGCATGGTGTCGCAGACGCAATCGCAGGGCAATCGCAAGGGCGACTGGGTGGTCGGGAAGATGGAGGGCGAGTGGTGGTGGGAAGCAACGAAGGGAGGCTGTCATGATTGATGACGGATTCGTGACACGCGATTGACAGCGCGGATGCGGATGCTGTGTCACACTGTGCCTGATGCGTGATGTGTGAAGATCCGACGGCTGTGTTGCTGCGCACCATGCGCTTCTCTTGAGTGGGCACGCGCTCACCGCTGTCGTGGACCACATCCCTGGCCTACCGGGTAAGATCTTCACTCGGCTGAACATCGGGCTGGGACGGAGAGCATGCATCTACTCGGGCCCAGAACAAGCAGATAATGATGCAGCAGACATCGCGTCGTGATGGTCGTCGAGGCCACCGATCAGCGATGTAAGAAGCGCAGAAGCCACCCAGAATATTATTCAGAATAACGCGCTGGAGTTACATCACGGGCAGGGGGGAATGCGCGATGATGCAATGTTTGGTCGCGTTTCATCGCCGTGTTCGGGATCTGATCGCTTTAGGTATTCGGTCCATCGCGGCCAAGCGTGTAAGGCGATCATCTGCAAGCTAACCCGGAAATCATCCGTCGACGATCGCATTAATCACAACGGTAAGTGACTGTAATGTATTTGAACTCGATTTGAACCATTGCCCTTTCATTCCAATCAACCTAGATGTGCAGGATTCAAAATTTCTTATATGATTCCATGATAAAGAGTGCAATGAGCTGTGCCAAACTGACTACAGAGTATATAGGAAGACAAGCCAGAAGCCAAAGGAAATTTATCACCAATTTTCCTGCCTATTTTTTTTTTTTTTTCTTTTTTTTGAATCCTGTTATTTGGCCTCTACAAGTATATGTACGGTGGCCATTATCATGCACATTGAAATTCTAATTTGTCCATCCTTCCCTTGTTTGTTTTCCTGCGGTATCATATCCTTTCTGGTCTGCTGTAATGCCTAAGCAAACCAGACCATCTAGACTGCCACTTGCCTGAGCAGACCAGACATAACCATACTAGGACGGCCGCACCGGAAAGTGCTAGAGTGGGTAACCCGATAAGGAAGTCAGTCGCAAACAAAGGGGATGGGGGGGGATAGAGGATTATGACCGGTATTTTGCCGCCCTGCAAAACGCCTCAAATAGAAACAGCCCCCCCTTTGAGGCCAGTCGAGAGGCTATCTCTTGATCTGCACATGCCAGCTTGATCGAGACATATGGGACAGCCTCCCGTTCTGCGTCTGCCCGGACCATTGGCAGATGGGTCAGCACCTCACCATCACTATAACCTTGGGAAACCAGCTGTGCGGTCAACCTCAAACCACCAGCATCCAGATCGTCCCAAAATGCTGTGGCTGGTACACCATGTAGCACCATCCATGTCCATGGAGCGTCAGCGTCCAGGATCATGTCCAGCGACCAATTGTTGAATGCCGTGCAAATCACATACTCCACATTTCTGCTCACCCGACTCTGCTGGACAAGCTGTGCAGCCGTATACGGTGCCCGCATATAGACTGCCAGGTTCCCTGCCGGTGTCCACACAACCCCCTGTATCCGTGAGCTCCCTTGATCTCCAGGGCCCGTAGCCCCCTCAAGGGCTGTGACCAGCTGGGTCTTGGTGGGTCGCTCTTCTAGTAGGGGGGTGTAGCCAATCCAGCGGATTATCAGTCGCTGTGGAGACTGATATCCCTTCTTCTTCTTCTTCTTTGATTGCTTGTCTTTCTGTGTCGCCTTTGCTGGTGCTGCTGCCTATTTGTGTCAACAAGGTTGTCATTAACTTGATGGAATATGCATGTGTAAAATCTGAAATTTCTAGAGACTTGAGAGGAGGGAATAGCAAATATGATTGAGGAAGGTACCACCTGTGTGGCCCATATATCACTGTAGACTATCAGGTCCAGCCCAGTGTGTTGGAGCTGTCAGGGGAACCCCCTTTCATTCCGGTCCAATTCCGAGGCGTCTCCAGTGCGGCCCTCCATCTCGCCCGCACAATCACCAATCCGTCAACGCCCTCCCAAAGGTCGCTCTGGGACCTTGCCTGCAACACCGCCCAAGCCATCTGTGCCCGACAGCAGCAGCTACGGACAAGCAGTATATAGTTGGCTACCTAGCAGGCGGACCCTTAGAGTTTCTTCTCTTTGGATCCTCCCCTGCTAGGACCTTGATATCAGGCCTCCGGGGTTGCCCTTACAGCAGAAGAAACTCTCTACGGGATTAACTAGACAAGATTGCCAGGTTTGGCGCTGACTCAGGCTCGGAGTACGAGTCCATTCTGCCCTCGTCACCGCCCCTGCCACTTGTCCCCTCCTCCTCCGCTCCTGTGGTCCCCGCACCCGTCATGCCGTCTGGAGTCATTCCCACCGCAGACACCCGGCTGGACTCACTCAAGGCGAAAATCGACAGCCTGACTGAGGCCCTTGCTTTACTCACCAACCAGGCTTCTGCTGCCGCTTCCGCAGCTAATAATGCTGGCGCGCACCAACCACCATTGCTGGAGATATTGATTTCGACTCCGACGCCAGTCCAGGGCGTCACCTCAAAATTGGTAAGATTGTTGTACCCAAGGACAAGGATCTGCGGAGACGTATCATCGAGCTCTGCCACAACACTCAAGTTGCCGGACATGGCACTCACGGAAACACCCCCAGAACGCTGGCATACCATTTCCGTCGACTTCATCATAGAGCTCCCTGACGCCCACAGGTATGACACGATCATGGTCATCGTTGACACCCTCGGAAAGCATGCCCACTTCTCGGAGTGTCATACAATGGTCGATGCAGTAGGGGCAGCCCGCCTCTACTACCGGAATGTCTGGCAACACTATGGGACTCCGGAGAAGTACATCTCCAATTGTGGCTCACAGTTCATTGCGGACTTCACCTGAGAACTTTGGCGTCTAATTGGCATCAAGCCCGCCACGTCCACCGTGTATCACCCGCAGACGGACAGGCAGACAGAGCACGTCAACCAGGAGTTGGAGCAATACCTGCAGATCTTCACCAACTATCAGCAGGACGACTGGGACGAGCTGATTCCGGCCGTGGAGTTTGCCTACAACAACCACGTTCACTCCTCCACGTTTATGACGGACTCGGGCCGGCTCCCGCACATGGGCTTCGAACCCGGAGTCTGCTCCGCCATGGAGTCAGTGAATGAGTTCCGCGACCGGATCGCCACTGGTGTTGCCGAAGCAAAGGCTGCGCTCACAAAGGCCAAAGAGGAGTACAAACACTACTATGACTGGAGACGCACTCCGTCTCCGGAGTTTAAGGTTGGCGACTGTGTTTGGCTGGATGCCTCTGTAAGGGCAACCTCGCGAGGCTCGAAATCAGAGTCCTGAGCAGAGGGGGAATCCTTAGAGAACAAGCCAAGGAGCCCTCTGCTCAGGTGCACTACTATATACTAGTGACCGGAGTAATGATAGAGTGACTGCATAGCGACGAACGACGCATGGGAGAAGTCAGGTGTCGCTAATGGACCCTAGGTGAGTGTCGAGTAGCCCTCTAAGCTCCGGAGAGGCAGGTTTGGGACCATGATGCCAAGGGAAGAGCCCAGGCATCCTTAGAAGGCCCAGGAAGGGCTTCGGAGGGTCCAGACTGCCTCTGGGCGTCTCCGCTTGTGACCGTGACCGTGACAACCGGAATCAGAATCGGAATCGGAATCGATTCCGGGTGTGTGACCGTGACGTGACGGCCGGAAACGGAGAGGGGGGGCATGGAGCGGAGAGGGAAGGAGTCGGTCTAGCCCAAGGGCCGGGGAGTGTCGGAAAGGACCAATGGAAATGGCGGCCAGCCATGACCACTGGAGGGTAGCGACAGGAGGGTCACTCGGAGACGTCCCTGGACGTCTCCAGAGAGGTGGAGGTGTGAGGGCGTGCAGCCTGGGGCGCTGCAGTAGGCACGAGCCTTAACGGCAGTAGGCCTCACCCAAAGGAAGACCCGATGACGGGGGCCGTGGTGGCGGAGTGGGGGGCGGAGCCATGGCGGGGCTCAGCCATCCGAACGTAAGCCCGAACACTGACATAGGTTGGGGACACCCAAGAGGTCCAACGGGTAGAGGTTGCAGGGAGACCTCGATGAGCGACAGCCCAGAGAGGCTATAAGGCCATAGGCTCAAGGTCTCAGAGGAAAGTGGTGCGTCCACATCTGGAGAGGTCTCCGATGGCATTAGTGATCCCTGATGGTGACTCCGGAGAGACTCCCAGAAAGGGGTGGCCATGGGAGTTGGAGGTTGGGGACCACTGGATGCGGGATGTGGTGGGAGAAGTGGAGGAGGAGCGTCAGGGTGCAGGAATACAGAGACTCGGGTGGAGACACGGAGACGCGAGTGGAGACGCGGAGACGTGAGCGGAGACGCGGCGCTTGATGGGATCAAGTGACGGCATCAGGGTTTCCCCTGACAGCCTCTGACATCAGGACGACTCGCCCCTCAGAAAAGTTCTCCCACCGCCGCTTCGGACCATTCAAAATAGTCGCGGAGATCAGCAAAGGTGCCTACAAGCTTGACCTCCCTCTGCACTACTCAAAGCTCCACCCAGTCTTCCCTGTCGTCAAGCTTGAGCTCGCCCAAGACGACCCCTTCGATAGACGCCCCGGCTACAACCAGCCCCCTCCGGACCTCGAGGACGGAGTCCCGGAGTGGAAAGTAGAGGAAATCTTGGACGCAAGGGTGAGGTATAAACGGCTGAACTACTTCGTCAGATGGAAAGGCTATGACGCATCACACAACCAGTGGGTCCGCTTCGACCGTGTCTTTGCCCCAGAGAAGATCACAGAGTTCTATCGTAAGTACCCTGGCAAACCACGGCACATCGCCTCTGCAACCTTCGACACAATTTCGTTCCGGTCTATGCGTTGGGACGCCGTATTCAAAGAGGGGGGGGGGGTGATGTCAGGGGAATCCCCCCTTTCGGCCCCTCGGAGATGTGTCCGATTCCGATTGGGGGCTCCAGTCTGGCCCTCCATCTTGCCCGTACAATCACCGATCTGTCAACGCCCTCCCAACAACAGTCGTCCTGGGACCTTGCCTGCCAAGCCTTCTGTGCCTGACAGCAGCAGCTACGGACAAGCAGTATATAGTTAGCTACCTAGCAGGCGGACCCTTAGAGTTTCTTCTCTTTGGATCCTCCCCTGCTAGGACCTTGATCTCAGGCCTCCGGGGTTGCCCTTACAGGAGCTGACAAGCCGCATGGAATTGTGCAACTTCTATAAAAATGAATAACCATTCTATAATAGAATGAATAATTTCCATACTTTAGTATCTGTAAGGGCAACCCTGGAGACTCTGATGAAAGCCTAGCAGGGGAGGATCCAAAGAGAAAAAACTCTAAGGGTCCACCTGCCATGGCACCAACTCATCTGTAACTGCCAATGTAGAGCGCAGAAGGCCTGAGCAGGATTGCAGGCTCTGTCCCAAGGTGATTGTTGGGAGGGTCTTGATGGATTGGTGATTGTGCGGGCGACGGAGGCCAAGGATGAGGGTCGGGGTGGGTCAGAGTGTCTGAGTGCGCCTCAGATGCACTTGGAAGGTCCGAAGTGGGCCGAAGTAAAGGTTCCCCTGACAGTATCTAAGTACTTCATGTAAAGGCTTCTGAGTTAAGTCTAGGGTCTAAGTAATTGTATTATTGACTTGGGGTTAAATGGCTGTGTTTTGTATAGCTATAAGCTTATTTAGTAATGACATATGATTTGGAAATGGATACCTTATGGTCTAACAAAATTCCCGTATTAATGATAAGTCTGTGATATTACCATATGTGACATGTGTGACATCCTTCCAAAAAAGAAATTATAAGTCTGACACTTTGCTGACACTACATTCACCAATTAAGCGCCCAACAGGCCTACCACCAAAGGCACCAAACAGTAGTTCCTGGACTCCTTGAATTTATTTGAAGAGGGGTAACATGAGCTGAGCTTCAGGATATACTGTTACACCCTAAGGTGTACCCTAGGGTAGGAAATAAATATACTATTTCTCTTGCTCTTTCTGTTTTTACAAAAAGTTTATCTTTTGCTAAGTTGGAAACGTGCAGCAAAAGCAGCACTTTCCTTTTGGATTTCTTGCAAAAAGAAAAAACATCTTTGTGCAACCGCAAAACACAGAAATAAAGAACATCTTGCTGTGCACCTTTCTGCGTCATTGAAATGAGTTCTTTGTGGGGCCCAAAAGGAAGTTTGAAAGGGGGGGAATTTCCAGGGAGCTAGTAAAGGAGCTATCCATTTGCTCAAAAAGGTCACCTTTTTTAGTAGACAGAAAGACATGCAGAAAGGCCATATTTTAAATGACCTTTCATGAGCAGACTCATTCCAGACCATGTTTTGTAAACAATAAGTGCACATCATCCAAGCCCAAATATTTATCAATAAATAGTGTTACATTATTATTACCCAATTTGTCATATATAATGGCAATTTGTCACTTATTTCTGATATATTAGGTATACTTTGGTGCTGGCCAGGATTTTTGATATATATGGTCTTATATCTTGTAACATATTTGGTACATTTATTTCTTGCAAAACATTGCCACAAAATTGTCAGCTGATATTGGCTCTGAGTTCATTCCAATCTGATCACTTAATATATGCCCCATTCTTTACAAATCACATTTATCTTCCTGGAGATTTATTTATTATTGTTCCAAGTTGTGAAAATATCCATTTTTTTGTCCATTATTTATCATAGATTAATCTTACTTCAGGCCTATTTTGTAGCAGAAACCCCAGTGTGAATTCGCCTTTCTGTTGGGAAAGAAATTTTCGACTTTGCGGTGTAAGAGGAGAGTAGAAGTTTCTCCATCCATTTGCTTAAATTTCAATTCAAAGTAGAAGCTGAGTAAAACTTGTGATCTATCCCTTGATAGATTCTCTTCTGTGCGACCTTTCACTTATACATCTGGTTTCACAAACTGTACCGCGTCCCATCCCACACCACCCTCCTCCATCGCCTTGATCTCTGTCCGACATCCATATCAGCATGATCCCGCGTCAAACACAGAACTTACGCAGGGCGACGTGCTTGGAGTGGAACCGGGACAGCGCCAAGTTGCCTGGGATTGCATCAGCAAAAGCGTCACGACTGCAAGCACGCACCGGTCATATACCAGAGCCCGCGCACGCCCATGTCGCGCCAGACGCCGCTCAGCTCACCCTCGGCATCGAGTCCCCAGATGGGTTTGCACTTGTCCGCGACGGCATCGCCGCAGAGTTTGCGCACGCCATTGCGAGCGTCCCCCAATCTATGTCCCAGTTCAGCGGTCTCGGCGGAAGCGCTGCAAAGCCGACGCACCCTGTAGCGAATACAACCACGTCAGCAGCCAATTCGCTCCCGTCTGCGAATTTAAGCCCGCCCGGCGTGAACGCAGAGATCTCGCCACAATTGCTCTTCAGCTTGATCTTGCCGTCGATGAGGAGCTGGGATGCGCCGACATCTGCGTGTCTTGATCAGTTCAAGGTAACGTAGAAGAGAAGAAAATCCACCGATGTAGTAGCCACCGGCGCGGTTCCACGCCGAAAGCGAGAACCCCGCGTCAAGCACGCCGTTGTTGAGGTTGAACCCGATCTTGCGCAGGCCGTCAAGTGTCTCTCTGCCAATCATGAGATACAGGTGAAAAGGAAACGAGCCAACACACTTGTCGTCCTCCGCAATGACCTTCACCAGACGGCGGTTCAGGTCCACCGCCATCCAATGAGGGAAGCTCGCATTTAGCCGGTCTGCGACATCCGAAGGTGGGCCACCCTCCCAATAGACCGGGCGCATGATGCGGTCCCAGCCGTGTTTAGTTGAAAAGACGTAGGTCGAGGAGCGTTGGTACATGGTAATGTCTGCACAGAATATTCACGAGCCGGCAGAAGGGAATCAGAACGATCGTACCAACGCCGTTGTAGTAATAGTCACTCGCGATATCGTGCGCTGCCACATATTCAGTAACAAAAGGGATTTGTGGAGAGGTGAAATACCTGCAGTACACGCTCCAACGACGACAACTTTCTTCCCTGCATGGTCCAACGCACGTTTGTGTTGCAGAGAATGGAGGATTTGCCCGTTGAAAGTGTCCTTCGAGGTTTTAGTAAGCAAATACTTAATGCGACTCGGAAACGATACACACCATCCCGGGGTATTGAGGCATATTTCCCTCACCCGCACCGAGGCCAGTCGCGAAGACGACATGCTTGACGGTAAACGTGCGGTCGGCTTTATTCGGCCGAGAGACGATCACTTGCCATGATGAGGTAGACTCGTTGGGTCGCGCACTGGCGACGGTCGCAGAGGTCCACACGTCAAGCTCGAGCGATTCGGCGTAGTTCTCGAGCCAGTTTCCCAACTACAAACAGTCAATATAATTATCAAAGCACCAGTCTGTGTACCTTTTTGGCAGGAGAGTAAACTGGCCAGGTAGAAGGGAATCTGAGTATGGTGAGAACTTGAACGGGTGAGGGACATGGAGAGCTAGGCCACGCACGGATGGTAGGGCATATGGTCATACCAGACAGGGTCATGGAGACAGAGAGCTTCATATCGGTTGCGCCAATTATCCCCAATCCTCCCGTTCCGCTCAATGATCAAGGTCCTGACGCCAAGATACTTCAGTCGTGCTGCCAAATCCAGTCCACTATGCCCTCCTCCGATGATGAGCACGACAGGGTCTTGTGTATCGTATGACTTGAGTGCCGCCGCCCGGTCCGAAACCCATTTGCCGTGATTGGGGGATGGATTGCGCAGGGCCCCAATTTGCTCTGGGTGGCCTTTTAGGCCGTCGAGGTTGGTGTACATACAATGTGCGCGCCACTCTCCGCTAGAGGTCGGGACAAGCCGGAATACGCCGGAGCAAAGCCCGGTGGCAGTCTGGAAGGAGAACATAGCGTTGATCCACGCGATGTCGGGATAGGGGCGCAGCAGGGCGGCGCTGCCTGGCGTGAATTTGATGCTCTTCGTATCGATTGCTGCGATGGGGAGTCGGTCGCGGAGGAACGTGCGAATAGAGTCGGCGCCATGGAACGAGCGGAAGTCCCACGTGAGCGCGAGCATGTCGCGCCAGTGCGAGCCCGCGATGAACAGGCTATCGACTACGTGCTCCGGCCCGTAGCCGTCAACTGAAAGCGCGGTGGAGAAGGCCAAGAGCCAGGCGCTGGCGATAGCGTTAGCGTCAGTGGTGTCGAGAATAGATGCGGGGTCCACGTTGAGGGCGTCAAGGGTGGGCAGCGGGTACGCCTTCATGGTGGTGGCGGTCATTGGGAAAGAGCCGGCTGAAAGTAGACCAGTGTGACGTCTTCTCTGGTCAGCTGCTCGGACCGCCTCTATGGAATGTTCTTGTCAGGGGGTGGCTATTAATTGAATAGGAACCGACCATAAGTCCAGTCTAAATGCTTAGGGTGCACCCAACGGCGGTTATGGGCAGAGGAAAGAAAAAAGTGCTTACGTGACGGAAATGACGTGACGGTAATCATGACGTGGCACTGCTTCTTCACCATCACGCGAAAAATGGCTACCCCAAGTAGAACGGCTCCAGCTCTCCACCGCCCATCCGCCGCTCGATAACCGGCTTCCCTCCATCCACCACCCATGCCCAAAGGCACCGGCCTCCGCGCACGCTACGCCCACCAGGCCTGCGACGTGTGTCGCGTAAAGTCAGGTTCGCTGACTTTCGTTGCCTTTGGCTTACACGCGGCCTAGGAAGATCAAATGCGATGGTCTGAAGCCCATCTGTGGACCGTGCATCGCGTCGAGCCGCAAGGCAGAAGTGCGTTATGGTATTGGCATGGACTGCTTAACTGACCTCCCTCAGTGTGCTTGGCTTAAAGAGCCTGTCCGCAAACCGCGGAGCGAAGCCCACTTTGAGGCCTTGCGGAAGCGAGTAGACGCGTTAGAATCCTATTCGCAACTGTTGGAGCAACGGCTGGCGGGCTGTCATTGTCAGAATAACGACGGGGAAAACGCGCAGAACCACATTCAACTCCGGCCACAGGTCGACGATGAGTCTGACGGTGGACAGTCGAGTGATGGGGACATTACACAGGAGCTGTGTATGCCAACTGAGCGACTCAAGGTGTGTCTTCAGCAGCCTGTGGTTATCATACTCAAACCCGCCCCGTAGTTGGATGAACGAGACTTACTATCCCTCGGCAACACCACGCCCTTCCGTTTCTCCCAGCCCCGGGCCGTGCCATCTACAACTTCCCTTGTTACCAGGGATCACTTAAGTTCCGACTCTGGTAGCTATACGCTGCTGCTGGACGGTGTTGCCGAGTCCCAAGCCGATTTGGCGTGCGATTGGACTCGACATCTACCATCCGATATCGTATTCGACAGGCGGGAACATGACCGGTGCGTCCATCTTGCCCATACCATTGTCTTTGTCCCGAAGCCCCCCCGCCTAGAATCCTGGACCATGTCTTCAAATACTTCACCTGCTGGTGCATGAGGGTCGTTCCGGCACTTTTCCTCCGCGATATGCACCGCTATCTCATGCATTCAGGCTCTACACAAGCGAAGACACCGCACTACTCCCCAATGCTGCACAACGCGTTATTAGCGCTAGGTTCCGCGTATTCATCAACACCAGAAGTCAGTAATATCGATGCCCGGCGAACGCTCGCGGCCCATGCGAAGGGCTTTATCGAGGCGGAGGTTATGCGTCCGAATGTTACCGTCGTCAATGCGCTCGCCATCCTCGGCAGTTTCCATTCGGGACATGGGGAGGTTATGCTTGCTTACATGTACTGGGGTGAGTATTTCCATCCCACTCAGCCTTCGTCACTTAGTGTACGCAGGCATGAGCACCCGTATCGCAGAGGCACTGGGACTGAACATCGATGCGTCTTCCGCAGTCCGCTCGGGGCGGATCTCGTCCACTGACCTCTTGGACCGCAACTGGATGTACTGGTCAATGTTCGCACAGGATGTGTGCTGGTCTACATATGTCGGCCGGAGCCTCTCCCTCCCCGCGCCGCCTACCCCTCAACACCTCCGCAAGAGCGTGATTTTCGAGGGATATGATGATATTCCGTGGACTTACGCTCACGCGGAAAGTGGAAATAGAGGAGCGCCACAGCCGAATGCACTTGCGAAGACGCACGCAGCGGCGTGCGATTTGTTGCTCGTCATGGTGAAAGTAATGGATGTGGTGTAAGTCGTGATTATTCTAGGATAAAGGGTAACTGAAAATCAGAGAAAGGAATCATATTGGCCGGGCCTCGCGAGTGGCCGACAAGCAAGTAACTGACATTGAGTATGCATTGCGTTATTATTTACCGGAGTCAGCTCACTCGTGTTAGTATCCAGCTGTACAGCTGGAAGGAGGCACTCCCTCCCTTCCTGCAACTTACATCACGAGAACGACCTACTCCGCACAAGCTCATGGTGCACGCTGCCTACTGGTGGTGCTTCATTCTCCTTCACAGGCCGTTCTTCCACCAGACGGCGAGGTCGGTACACGGTTCCGATCCCGAGGTCGATCATATCAAGGTATCTTCCCTGGTCTTCGTTCAAGTCGAGAACTAAGTCGTATCCTATCCCAAAAGCTTTGTAAACGCGCAGCAGATAACAGCATGGAGCTTTTTAACACATGGCGCGAGCTGCACGGACTGCGGTTCTCCAACATCCCATTGGTTCGTACAAATCCCCTATATCAGTTCTTCTCCTCAATACTCGACGAAGGCGCAAATGGTATTTGCGACGGGAACGATTCACCTACTCCTCGCCGCTGACGCCGCATCGACGTCCCGCGCTCGTGTCGCGCAAGGCGTGCTGAGTGCGGCCCTCGGCGCGGCAGAGCGATGTGTGGGATACTTATTTGAAATGGGGCGAACATTCAACACCGCGAATCTGATGGGCGGCATATTGCAGCATCTGCTCCGCGATCGGGTGAAGCCTCTGGTAGCGCGAAAACAGGGGGACAAGAGCACTGCCAGCCTGGCCCAGCCTTCCTCACGGGACGGTGCGGAAATAGAAACACGGTATACCCAAACTCCAGGAACAGTCGCTCCCCCGATACCAACTCGCGCGGCGCCGAGCGCTAGTGTGACGCTCGATCCTGCATATGGCCATGGAGACCTTGGCTTCGATGTGCAGCAAATGCATGCACCCATACTCCCAGATTTCGACGCCGCGACCATGTTGGACACCACTGCTATTGCGGACCCAAACACGATGTTGTTTGACCTTGACTTGAACTTCGGCCTGGGCTCGGGGATGGCACAGGGCGGAGCAGTCTGGCCCTGGCCGTGGGCCGGATCCAATATGGGGGGCATGCAGCCTGGCATCGACTGGGGTGCTGACCCACACTCGGGGACGCCCAGTCCGCAGAGCGCGATCGCGGCGGCGGGACAATCAATCTGGGAAGATTTCCAGCTCCTCATGTAGTTATGGTGTCTGTCAGATTTTTTGAAGCCATGTACAGCACAGTTGGAATGTGCGAGCTGGAATTAATTATCATCATATGGAATGGGTTTAAGATCATTATGACTGATTCATCTACAAACATATGGAATGGGTTAGGCTCATATCATTCTAGCATTTCCATTATGTTTGATGTCTACATATGATTCAGATCAAGGGCTTCAAGATTCTTATCAGGCACAAGGGTAGGGTCCCCAGGGGGTAATTACAAGAAAAAACTTTTTGTATATGAAAGATTTGAGCCTTTAAAGACACTGAAAATATAGTGTATACACTCTAATTTCTATAGTTCACAACCCCCATACTTTATATATATATATATATATACTTTCAGGCCTATGTGCTTGGATAGCCCACCCTCTCACAGGCCTATCATCAGTTATATATGAGCTAGTGATAGGTTAGTACTCACACATTTATTGAGCTGCCACCATGGGTTACTTAATGAAAGTTGTTTGTATCGTTAAAATACACAACTTTGATTTTCCTGACAAATGGTGAAAATTTCCTTTTTAAGAGATGTGTCACAGTTGTAACCTCATATGACACTGTGTAATGGCATATCATAAAACAAGTATGATCAATATGACATAACATAACAAATATAGTAACATGTTATATAACAGTATCATATCTCCTAGTTACTTACCAAGCATTTCCTTTTTTGGTGACTTTCAATGATGTATACTGTAGCATTTTATTCAATTCGGCGCTCGAAATTGGTGTGACATCGGCGCCGAAATGAAATTTTCGGCGTCCAGCGGCTTCAAGTGTGACCGCCGAAAATTTTGGGCAGATTACGGTGCGGCCCGCAGGGCCGCGCCACCCAAAAAATAGTAAATCAGCCGAGGGAATTCGGCATCTGGGCTGTCGAGTGTGACCGCCGAAAAAATTTCAGCATTTTAAGGCCAGTGTGACGCGTGACCGCCGAATTGAATAAAATGCTACAGTAGTCCTTTCAACTGAAATCACCCTTTTTGGCAAGCATCAATGATCTGTTAGCTTAATATTTATAATGAATATTACAGCATAGGTTGCCAACTTGGCATTCAAGTCTTAAGCCCCAGAATTATTACATTTATTGCAACTTTAAACTCTATTTATTGCAGCATTGGGCCATTTACAGAAACCTTTCTAGTTAGAACTCACAGTGCACTGTAGCGTACATTCTAACTACAAGGGATATGTGGGATTAACAGGTGTAATTTTTGCCCAGTGAGAATACTGAGAATACAATCATTCAAGAATGTTACAGATTGTCACAAATCAAAGTTACATATTTTGACTATATGAACCAGTTGCATTAATAGTGGCAGTTGTGTCAGCACTCACCAATCACTAGTTGATGTATAATTGATAAGCCCTTATCTTCATGACTACTTGATGGAAATACATGATTTAAGTACTGTTGGGAAGGTTCTCAAGATTATTATGAATATAAATTATGGCATTTGATCACCATCATATTATACAATCACCGTAGTTGCTATTTTAGTCGTATAAAAAGCCATATCTGGTAGCTGAAACATATGAGGTAGATGACTTCTATATATCTAGAGACTTCAAACTGAGGCTCTGGCATTTCCATTCCCAATTCCAAATGAATATAATACTGAAAATACCATGAATCCCCTGGGGTTGCCCTTACACTGGGCTGTTTCCACAATTTCTTCCTGTCACAAACTTGAAGTTTTTTCCTTAGAACCATTATTAGGGTTGAGCATGGGTCTGGGTCTGGGTCTCAGAAGGCTGCCCCTGACCCTGATAATCCCTAACACTTCCGGGTATGGGTTCAACCGGGTCTGGGTTGACCTATGGACTGCAGACATGGAAGCAGAATTTAAAACAATAATTTAAACATAATATATGTTTGGCCATATGATATTAGGTCAGGTATAGTATATGTAGCTGATTTCTCAAGATCTTAAGTATATTCAATATGGTCTACTACTATGTCAAGTCACATGTTACATGTGTGACATGTGATTTTTTTTTTTATGTCTGAAAAACTCACAAAAATCATGCTTGGATGGTGAATTGTTGAATTATAATGGCTCATTAGACCCTCTGGGTTGACCCTGAGAGGGTCCGGGTTTGACTGGGTTCAGAAATTGGTGTACCCTGACCCTGACTTTGGCAGATTTTACCCTGCAACCCTGCGGGTTGACCCTGACCTGTGCTCTACCCTGACCATTTTCCATTTTTTGCAAAAGTCTGAAACATTTGACTAGTAAGAAAGTTGAAAAACACCTTGAATCTTTTTTCAACATTTTTTCTTGATAACAAAAACTTATAAATTATTGTTCTAGTTTTTCCATATATACTCAGATATGTTTCTTGGTAATCATTTGGTAACAAACCTTAATTTTCTTTCTCTGATATTTTTCAGTCAACAGTTGCTAAAAAAAGTTCAAATTTCCACTTAGAAAAAACTTGCTGAAAAATTTCCAATTTTTTTTATCTAACTTTTCACAGGGAAAAATTATGGAAACAGCCCAGTGAGTCGGTAATCCATTTGCAACATATTTCTGAGTACCTCTCAGCTCAAGAACTTCTTGATTGGAAAAGAATTAAATTCAAATTTCATGCTAAAGATCACACCAATTTTGATATTTGAATCAAGTAAAATACACCAGTGTAGAATAAGAGTTAACAAGAATGTTCAAGTGGCGATTTTCCTTGCTTTGCTTACAATCACATAGAACATCATAGAAGAGTAGAGCCTTCAAAGGGGACCTAATGGCTGGAAAATATTCATAATCTCTGCCTTTAAAGCCCGAGACCTTGTTGTATATGGCCCAGACCCTGCAATTAGATGGAAATAGTCAAGGGCTTGTAACATCAGGCTCAATGCAGGAAAACTGATATTCTTAAGTGTAGAAACAATCCCTGTAGCATTGGTATCTGGTCCTTGATCTTGCCAGAAAAGGTTGGATGACCATAACTGGGTAGCAAGATGTACTAATGGTGATGAAACCCCACTTTGATCTTGATGTCCCAACAATATTATATGAAAATCCAGTACAGTTTGGAAAAATTTCTGCTCCACCTCTTTTTCCACAGTATACCAGCAGTCATCTGAAAGCCAGAATCGATATTCAAAAACACGGATATGGCACCAAGAGTCCTCTACACAACTTTTAAAATACTCTTGCATAAACTGAAGATATGCATCAAAAATCTCTGCCCTGATTGACAGCCGTACAATGGCAGGATCAAATCCAGCAGGAAGGAAGAGTGGACATCTAGGTTGCAGAACTTCATGTCGACATATTTCTTGTAAGCGTACTCGTGTTGCCCCCAAGGCAGCTGGAATATGAACTTGCATATCACGACACTCCTTTGACAGTATGTTCAACCATCGTAAATATCGAATAGCCTCAATTTCTGCGGGCATGACAATATTTGCTAACCTAAGCCGGGTATGGAGATCTTCAAGGAATAATATAGCTTGAGAATTGAAAATAATTGAATCAGCAATTCTTGTAGCTGCTGTAACAGCTCTCTGAGACTCTAACATATGTATAGACTCTGTATTATGTTTTTGTAGGAATCCATCTAGAAAACTTGCCAAGACTGGAAGGCTACAATGTTCAATTGCATAACGAATAGCTTGAATATTTCCTCGTGCTGCTAGATATACAAGATGAGGTTGATGATCATGTACTTGAAGAAAAGGAAGAAGTTGAAATGCCACACGAGCAAAATCATCAATGGGATGTCTTGGATCCTCTGCAGCTGGAGATGATTTGGAGAAGAGGAATTCAAGATCTATCCAGCAACTGAGTAGCTTTGCATTAGGATCAGGGGCTGGATCACTATAACCTAATATGGTTTCACATGTTGCTAAAATCTCAGAGGGAAGAACAGAGTTGGAGAAATGGAATACAGCTCTTTCTAGGCATTGTCCAACAATATAAGCTCTCTGTAATCTCCATTCACTTGAGCTAAGAAGAGCAGAGATTTCATTGGATACACCATTGATTGTGCTTAGGTCAATTTCAGAAGAATTGATAAGGCTATTACTGAAAGCCTGTAACTGATTCCAGCTATCTAAACTTGCAACCTGTGGTGCAAAGAAGAAATCTGCAGATTCAATATGCCCTAGAATTTGGTATATTTGGCTTAATGAATCTATAGTAGGTCTGCCTCCTGTAGACTTGCACTCAATAATAAACTTTTGCACTTGCTTAAACAGATAGAAGGCCCTCATATGGCTATGCCATCTTAAAGCCAAAGCTAATGCTATCTGGAACCTGGGCTGAACTTCAAGCCTATCAAAAAGCACCATCTCTTCAATTGAAGTCATGTCTAACCGACGGGTCCAGGCATCAGGGATTACACACAGTGTCCACAATGCCTTCATGCTAGCCATGCGACGCTTGATACAGAGAGGGTCATCAACCTGCATTGCCTGTGTCCCAAGTAATAGATTACATAACCGAGTTACCAAAGGACTAGGATTATGAAAGTCACCCAAAACCCTGTTAAACAAATTGATATTTTCCATTCTAGCACCTTGAGACCCCCAAGCCGCTTCACTGACAGCTTCTGCAAATGGAGTAAATTGTTCATCATCTGTAATTGTTTGTAGTGTCCAATATATGGCATCCTGGTCCCTTTTGCCTGTCTGTTCCATTGCCTTTTCCTGGATTGCATCTGTGAAAGTTCTTGGTTGCATAATATTGAAAGCTGATTTTAAAGCTTTTTGACCTATGGACCATAACAAAACAGATATAGGAGTACTGAAGGGACTATCCAAAGAAACCAATGGTAGAACACTCAGCAGTAAATAGATGATAATAAACAGGCCTAGCATTCCTGCAACTAGCCCCATGATAAGTAAGTTGACAGGAAGAAGGAATGCCACTAGTCCTGCAAGAAACAAGAATAGTGCAGCATGTAGTAGCAAGGGAATCATGTCTACAATTGTGTGCATTGAAAATCTTTGCAGCCCAGAGTTG